GTGTGTGTATGAGAAGGGGCCGGCTCACTGGCCAGGATCCCCCCATTTGCACCTAAGTGACATTGCCACGTGTGTGTATGAGAAGGGGCCGGCTCGCTGGCTGGGATTCTCCCACTTGTACCTAAGTGACATTTCCATGTGTGTGTGTGTGTGTGTGTGAGAAGGGGCCGGCTCTCGCTGGCCGGGATCCCCCCATTTGCATCTAAATGACATTGCCACATGTGTGTATGAGAAGGGGCCGGCTCGCTGGCCGGGATCCCCCCATTTGCACGTAAGTGACATTGCCACATGTGTGTGTGAGAAGGGGCCGGCTCGCTGTCTGGGATTCCCCTACTTGTACCTAAGTGATATTTTTGGGTGCTGACCATGACTATCCTTCCTGCTTCTGGGTTGTGGCCTCCTGTCTTTAAAAGTATAAGAGCCCCTAAAACGTCACAGAAATGTTGGTGGGATGGATGGTGGCTGCAGTGTGTTTTCATATTGAGGAAACCCTAAGGTCAAAAACCCCAAGGACAGAAACCCTAGGGACAGAGGCTACCGTGAATTCTGTGAGGTGATTATGTCGGTCACAGGCCATTCAGACCAGGCCCCCGCCAGCCTGAGTCTCCCCTGCCCAGCTCTGAGGTCCTCCTCTTCCTCCTCCTCCTCAAGGAAGCCGATGGGGCACAGCCCTGGCAGTGATGCTGCAGGCCGGTGGGAACAGGAGAGACCTCCAGGTGATGGTGTGTCTGCTCTCTTGTTGGTGGGCTGGTAGCCCCGGCCCCTTGGGAGCAGCCAGTGGCGGGGTGGTTCCCTCTCTGCTCCCCTCACTGCATCTCCAGGGGCTGGAGAGGAGCAGAGCCCGGTACCGTCCTGTGGCAAGTGCTGCCAGGCCCAGGGGTGCTCCCTAGGAGTTGCTGGGTTCAGCTATGTCCCTGTATCTGTGAGCCTTTGCCCCTGGGGTCTGCCGTCCCCTCCCTGATGTCTGCATGGATATTCTTGTTTCTAATGCCTTGACTTTTAGCAAATTTGTAAGCGGGGGAGACAAACATAAATTGACTTTCCCAGACTCTCTGCATTTGTCAACTCCTGAGACCTTCACCTCACCACCACCCCACCCCACCCCCGGTGGGGGGGACAAGGGTGATTGTCTTCCCTTGGAAGAGGAGTGGCTTGTAGCTGGAACTATCTGGAAAGTACATTAACAGTGCCCATCACCACCGCCGCCCCCACCAATGCCAGGAAAAAGGCTCTGGCATGGTGTGGTGGGGACAGATTCCTATGGGGGTCTGAGGGCCTGGACGGTTCCCCACACACACTGGCATTGACTTTTTAAAAAACATTCCAAATCTCTGTCTCCCTGTTTGTGAGTCAGCAGATTGCATGTGGGAGCGGTCATCAGAGCTGCCCCTACATGTCCCTCCTTTGGGGGCACGGGGCGGGGGGGGCGCCTGTCAGGCAGTAGGAATGTATGTGCTGACCTGCCTGCGTCTGCACAGATCTGCAGCCTCATGAGAGGAGGCATCGCCGAGCGAGGGGGTGTCCGCGTCGGCCACCGCATCATTGAGATCAATGGGCAGAGTGTGGTGGCCACAGCCCATGAGAAGATCGTCCAAGCTCTGTCCAACTCTGTTGGGGAGGTAAGATCATGCCCGTCACTGCCCTGCCACCCACACCACTTCCTGAAGCCAGGACCCAAGGTTAGGGGCGTCCCAGCTGAGCCTTCTCCATGACCACTGAACCCTGGAGGGACACAAGATGTGCTTGGGAAAGCCATCGATCCCCACACAGGAAAAGACCACCCCTCTTAAGAAAGCTTGGTCCACTGGGCCCGTGAGTGAGCCCTGTTTGTGGGGTCTTCTAAGTTCCCTCCTTGGCCTGAGAGCCTTCCTTCTCTGTGACACCAGACACTGGCCAGGCTGTGTCTGAGGGAGTGTCCATATGAGGGAGAGCAGAGTGGCCGGCAGCCTGAGTCTGTCAGGGCTCTGAATGTCTTGCAGACTGAGGGCACAGTTTTTCCCAAGCAGCTCACAGGGAAGCAGGACAGCCTGGGCAGAGCAGGGGCCCGGAGTGGGTGGCAACACAGCTGTGGGAGGGCAGCTTGGCCCAGGGTGGGGTGAGAGTGTGTGGGTGTGAATGTCTGTGTGAGTAGGTCTGTGGAGGGGGCTGTGAGTGTGAGCCAGTGTGTGCAGGGGCAGTTAACAGGGACGTGGTGTGGGTCCCTCCAGGAGCATGGTGACCAGCCGAGGGTGGGGAGACAGCTGGGGAGGTGTCTACAGAGGGACCGGTTGGGTGCCAGCTAGGTGTTAGCTGGGAAGTTTGGAGCTGGCAGGCTCTGGCCATCTGTGGGGCTCCTGACAGTGGCCACGTGGGGCCTAGGGCCAGGGTCCTGTTCTTACTGCCTGTGGGGGCAGGAGGGTGGATACTGCTTCTTGTGGCCATATTGGGACATCCAGTGTTCTGTAGGACCACCAGGGTCAGGTGGGGGCCGATTATCAGCTCTCATGAGAAAGAGAGGGCCAGGCAGGTGCTCCTAGCTTCTCACAGAGAACGAAAAGCCAATTTTCCTGTGTAGACACCTTGAAATGGCCACTCCCACAGTAAGGGCAGCCTCACACCCACAAAGAAATCAGTCGAGTAGAGGGGTGGGGCTGGGAGCTCAAGCAGTGGGAAAGGTCCCCGAGGCTTCACACCTGCCAGGAAATGTATTCAAAGAGGCAGGAGAGCAGCCTCTGCCTCTTCCCCTCTTCCCAAGCAGCTGGGAAAAGCAGTCACTAGTAACAGGACCCGAAGCCTTGACGAGCCCCAGGGTGGCCTTCAGAGGGAGGAATGGCAGAGAATAATCCTCTCATAGAAAAACCCTTGAGCTGAGGGAGGCACTGAAATCTGAACTTACCAAAGGGACCCTGGTGGGGCGGGTGGGAAGATGTGTCTGCAGGGTTTACCTATCCGGGTTGGTCAGACCAGGGCCGGAAGCCTGCTTGGCCTGGGGCACTGCACCCTGCTGGGCACCCAGAGGCAAGTCCGTGGCATCCCTGGCAGCACACCAGTCAGCCCTCAAGAGGCGGTGGGCACTGCAGGGCTGGAGTGCAGAGCTGAGGAGGTGAAGCCCCAGGCAAGGCCACCTACCCTCTATTTACAGAGGGTCAGCATCCTCCTGCCAGGACACGCCTCCTCCCCGTGCCCTCAGAGAAGGATTATGGAGTGGGCAAGCCACAAGACCTGGATCCCCAGGGAGCAGAGTCACAGGCCATGCTGGAGCCAGGGATTGAGGCCTGAGCATGAGGGGTCATTGCTAAGTGATCTCGGGAGGATGGGGCCCTGTAGCACCCTAATCTCAGATCCCAGCCCTCTACACTTGTGTTAGCTTTAGCTCCGTGGGCAGGGTAAGTGTTTCCCCTTCTTGGTTTTGTCCTCAGAGATGCCAAGTGCACCCCTCCCAGGCTCTGTGGAGGCTGCGGCGCCTCCAGCCTGCCCCAGCCGGTGGGCAGACTGCAGTCCCCATGCAAAGCCCAATTTCTTACCCCAACCTGTGCCAACTAGAATCAAAGCAAAACTAGCACTCACCCACGCAGAGCCCTTCAAAGACAGGGGGTGGGGGGTGGGGGGGAGCCTTGAGCCATAGTCTGCAGCGTCCTGGGAGGTGTTCTAGACCTTCACTGTGTAGACAGGCCTTTCAATCCGGACACGCCCCGTTTCCCCACCTGTTGCTTGTTTTCACCTGATTGCACAGTGAGCGTTCAGCCTCCTCTCTGTGTTGGCAGATCCACATGAAGACCATGCCCGCCGCCATGTTCAGACTCCTCACCGGCCAGGAGACCCCATTGTACATCTAGGCTCGCTGGCCTGGCCACACCACGGAGCTGGACACTGGCAGGCCTGCACAGGCCGGGAGAGCCGGAACCAGCCTCAGGCGAGGACCTGACTCCTGACACCACATTCTGACAGGGACACTGACTCCCCAAAGGTCATGCCCTCGCCACCACTGTTTTTTTTATTTTGCCAAAAAGGAGGATATCTTTATGAAAAGAGAGTCACAGAAACAAATCTTTGTAAAACAGTCTAGTATTTTGCCACATTCTGAACCATTTTCTCACTGCGACTGACCGAGGGTGTGTCCCGGTCTCTTGTGTGGTGTGGTGTGGTGTGGTGTGGCGTGTCTCTCCTCCCTGAAGCTGTGGCGAGTGAACTCGGGAGCCTGCCAGGTGGTCTGAACCAGGCCTCCAAGGGCTGCACCCCTGGGCAGGCAGCGGCCACCCCTTGGCTGGGACATCTGGGGCCTGGGTGGGCTCCTAAACAGTTCCCAACGGCGACCTCTGCAGGAATGTGGCAGCCCAGCTCCCAGGGTGTGACTTGTAATGAAAGTTTGGGGACCTGTGGGTGATTGTAAATAAAGGATGATGGCCACAACGTCAAAACTCCCTATTTATTTAGATAAAGCTACTGTTTGGACTTTTATTTTGGCAAGCTGTCATTCAGACTTTAGGGTTTTCCTGTGGTGACCCAGGACCACACCTGGTTCTCCTGCCCTACCTGGGCACCCTCCTTCCTGAGCAGGACTCCCTCTAGGGGGACCTGCTCTCTGTCCTGCCGGGAACAAGGGGAGCAGGGAGCACGGGTGTGTGTCCCCTACACACACACACATCCACACATGGACATGCTCCCCTGAAGAAACAAATCCCCACTGGGAAACCCAATCCTTGCCATTCCTGAGGGAGCCGGCCGTGAGCGCTGCGCCGTGGCCCTGGGCAGTATTAGCGTGTGTGTAGATAAAGTCAGATGTAGTCTAGCTCAGTCCATTAGAGATCCATGTTAACTGACGTCATTTTGTCTGGAAGTCTTTTTTTTTTTTTTTTGGCCCAGGCCTTGAAGAATACACTGTGACTTAAGAAGCCTTACCACGCAGTAACTAAAGCTTTAGGATTACTGTAATTGAGGAGTGCCCGTGTGTTGCATGCAGCTGACCTTAGGAAGACTTCACGCATATCACTAATAAACCTGAAGTCCTGATGAAGCCCTGTTCGTGTGACTGGTTTGTTAACAGAGTGCAGGTGCCCACCTGACCTGACTGCACACCTCAGCCTGCAGCTGTACAGGTGTGCAGCACCCTACAGCCGGTGGAGGGGCCAGGGACCAGTCATGGGCCCATCCTGTGTTCTCCTCTCGCAGCCCCCTGGAGACATGGCTGGCAGAGAACTAATTGAATAAGGGAGAGATGGAACCTAGGGGTTCTCCAGATTTAAATTTAAATTACCTACAGCAGATGCATGTGTGTAAGAGAAAGTTGGACCACCTGTCCCAGCATCTTCTCTTTCCCTGTGGGCTCCCTTATAGCCTGGTTAGAACAAGACGACTCTGGCAGCTCTCCCATAACTTACCTTTCTCCATGGCCACCATCCTGGCGTCACCTGGCATGAGGAGGCCATGGAGTAGATGTGGGCTTTGGTCAGAAGGCTGTCGGGGTTCGGGGGCTTCCAGCCGTGTTGGCCTGGGCACCTTGGAGCAACAGGTCCCCTCCCTGGCTGCCCACAGCAGTGTGTGCTCCACCTCCTGAGCTGCTGACCAGGGCCTGGGATTCCTGGGATGCTGCAGAGTAAGAATGTCTTGTCACCTGGCCCCTTGGAGGATGTGAGCTAAGAGCTCACCTGATCTCAGCTTTGGCCATCGGGCCATGTAAGTCTGTCAACATGAACCCCAGTCCCTTTCTTTTCTTGGGAAGTATGCACGGTAGCAGCAAAGAACAATGGTCAGCAGGAAATACAGTTATAAAAAGCAGCATCAAGCCTTCCCCTCGTCCCCAAATCAAAAGCAAAATAAAATCCTTCACTTGGCCAAGAAACATGAAATGCTAGCGAGGGATGGCCCACAGCCTTGGGAAATGAAGGAAATGACCTGAGTTTAAAGGTGGAAAGAAAGGGTCTCGACTTGAGAAGGCAAGGGGGGATATTCCAATGTCTCAGACAAGGCAGGGGAGTGAGCTCCAGGGGGGAGATTGGCAGCTGCCAGATGATACAGGGTGGGACTCCCACCAAATCATACACATTTTTAATTTTTAAAAACTCAGATTCTTCCCAGAAGCAGTCATGTCACATATGGGGGAACCTGTGTGTGTGTGTGGCACCTGCTCTCGTCCCCTCCCCCTTGAGAGCTGAGCTGCTCCTCCAGGCCCCTGGGAAGCCCCGCTGGTGGCGGCAGCTGCTTCTCGCTCCTGATGGGCCCTGCTCGCGGCCAGTGGTGTACACGGACTCTTGCCTGTCTCCATCCCAGTTAGACCTTGGAGACATGGAGACCAGAAATATTTTTTATTAAAACACTGATCATTATTAAAACACCTTGAGGTACATTAAATAAATACAACCTTTCCAGTTGTACAAACAGGTCTCTGGTGGCCTGATAACAATTTCTTATAAATCCTGCCTTAGCAGCCTCTGTGAGTCAGTACAGGTGAGGGGAAAAGAATCCTTTTGAAATAAGCTTTCTGTCAAGGGGTGGTCACAAGCACTGAATTTGGATCGTGGTTCCCACCTGAAAGAGACCTTAAGTCCTTACGAATGATGCTCCCACTTTGCCTATCACAGAGTTGGGGTGTCCAGTTCCCTCACCTCAGTATCCGAGAGGCCCCCAGGCTGGGTAAACGGTGGCGTTCTAGCAGGTCCCCACAAGTCTTGGGTGTAGGCAGGGAGAGTCCCCAGGACTCAATGAACTGAAAAAGGAGAGTGTCACCTCCAAAACAGTCACAGTTGGGCCTGTTTCAGATACCAAAATGGGGAGTGTTGAGAAAAGGCTCCAGGCGGAAAGGGGTCACAGGTAAGGAGGAAGCTGGTGCTCCCCTTGCCGTGAGCCAATCCAGCCTGAGGCTGGGTGCTCACGGCCGAGCACCCAGTGCCCACACAGCCCTGAGCTGGGCCCAAGGGCACCACAGCTGGTGAGCTAAGCTGCCAGCACATACTCTAGTGAGTCTAGCCAGTTCCTCTCTTCTGCGTACCTTTCCTGGAGCGCACAGGTGAGCCAAGGAGAGCTCCCCACCACTCTTCCCCACAGCCTTGTTTCTAGACGGCAAAAGGCTTCCGGCCAGTGGCATGAACTTGGGTACAGTTTCCTTATGCACAAATAGAGCTGCCAGGGGAGCAAACAGAGCTGAGTGAGGTTGGGGTGTGAATGCTCAGAAACGGTGCAGGCCGATGGTCTGGGGAGGCACTGCCTCGGCAGGAGCCAGTGGCAGGTAGGAGGACAAGGTCCTGCTGGGGAGAGGGGAAGAAGATTGGGACTCAGAGCACTGGGCTGGGTAGTCCAGCGATGCCTCACCCCGGCTGCATGGTGAGACTCCACAGAGGCTGAGTCCGCAGGGTGGGGGTGGCTTGACCTCAGAGTGGGGACACTCCTGTATGCTCCTCTAAGCCCGGCGTGGACTCCCCAGGCAGGTGAAACCCCTGTGGCTGGTAGCACTTGCTCCCACCTCAGAGATGGTGCAGTTCAGAGCCCAGGCTTCAGGTGCTAAAGCTTTGCTCATAGACTCAGGGGAGGCCACTCTGAAAATCCAGCCATTAACTCTACGTGCAAAGGGACCTGTTTTGGGGACTTCAAAAGCCCTCGGTTGAGAAACATTAGAGATTTCCTGTTTCCTATTCTGAGTAAAGTGCTTATAAATTCATCTATAGTATCTCTCTCGTGGAAAAGTTAAGGTTGTCATCCAAAGGCCTGATTTATATTTTTCCAGCTCTCTGACCTCTGGGAAGCAACAACTGACATCAGGAAAGCCCAAAGCCTTGACAGTTGACCATGACTGGGGGGAGTCCCACCCCTCAGTCTGCAGGGAGCCCGGTGGATGCCCCAACCCATTCCCAGCAGAAACCCCCCACCGCACACTGTCTCCAGGGCGGTTGGGAACTGAGGGATGAGGGAGGGGTTTGAGGACAGAGAAGCATGAGCCTGGCAGTGTTGGGCATCCTCTGGTCTCCAGTGCACACCCTGTGCCAAGCCCACAGGCTCTCTGATGAGATCTTGGGGTAGCTCTGTCCAATGCAGAGGCTACCAGCCACAGTGGTGGGGGCTCAGCAGCCCCACATGGGCAGCTTTGGACGGCCCAGACACAAGCAATCGCATCCCTGAAGAAAGTTCTCTTGAACAGTGCTGCTCCAGGGCCACCACTGGGACATAGCTGCCACTGATGTTGCCAGAAAACAGGCTGGAGAGAGGTGCCAAGAAAGGCAAAGGTGCCCAAAGTCACCCGACACAACCCAGCCCGGCTTGCCTGCTTCTGCACAAGCAACACAGTGGGTGTGTTCTTAATGTTCTACAGTCAGCCTCCTCCACAGCTGTGTCTGCAGCCGCCCGGCTGGTCGCCAGAGACCTGCTTTCGAAGGAGGCACACACATCTTAGGCAGGCCTCCATCCCCCAGACACACCAAGGTCAATCAGGTGAGGTCAGACAAGAGGGAAAGCCCCCAGAGGGGCTGGGAAAAGGTGCTTACTATCAGGGAACAGGAACTGAAATGTGTCTGCTCCAGGGAACAGAGGGAGCTGCAGAGCCCAGGGAGACAGGGGTCGGGGTGTGGGGGGAGGACTCTTTCAAGCCCTGTGCAAACTCTCCCTGCCTCAGGGGTGGCTGCGCCTGGCAGTGTATCTGTTCAGACAATAGACCTATGACCCTGCAGACAAAAGGTTGGGCCCAGGCTGCCATCTGTGCTAAAATTACCAATTTCCTTTTAAAGGAAACAGGTTAGAATAAGATAACAGTTTGATTACAGAGCAATGCAAGCCACATGAGAAAACAGTCTCATTATTTGACATCATCTTCTGTCCACTTCGCACTCCACCTAAACTGGGGCAGAGAATCCTGGTTTTGATGGCCCTGATTTTTGAAGACACTTAGAGTCTTTGAGTTACTTGAGCGTCACCTGCTGCTGTGCTCATATTTGTGTAATGCCAGTCCATTCAAGGTGACACAGGCCAGATTAAACCAAAGAGTTCCCCGTGGACATGAGAGAGTCCTCTTTCCGAATTACTGGATTAGGTAGGAAATGTAATCCCCAAAGAAACAAGTGATGGGCTCCACTTCAAGATGGAATAATCGTTCCCTACTGAGCCAACACAAGGGACTCCAGGGTGTCCCCCACCAGGGTCTTTGCCAGACCAATGGCTCCAGTCTCATCAGTATCCTCATCCAGACCGATGGCTCCTTCACACCTGGTCTGGAATGCCAGAGCTAAAGACGGCATCCTCCACGGGGTGCTCCTCGGAAGGGACGGCCACATGGATGGCACTCACGACATGCCGCACCTCCGGAGGGAGGGCACAGTGTGAGTGTTCCAAAAACTTAGCCACCAAAACTCTGGTGTCTGCATAGGTCTTGCTGTCCACTAAAGAGCGTGGCCGCTCTTTGGAGACCGCTGGGAAGACCTCTGGCACAGGCTGGTGGTCAATTTTCCAGGAATCTGGGTCCCCCAGTGGTGAAAGCCGGGGCCGACAGGCAGCCGCAGTGGAGCGAGACGTGGAAACTAAATGTCAAAGGAAAAGATGTAGTTTGAAAACTACCAGAAATAAGACAAAAGGCAGCTGTCGTAAGTCCCTTTTTTTGCAGTTTTTTGCTGGGGCCAGGTTCAAACCTGCCACCCCAAGTATATGGGGCTGGTGCCCTATTCACTGAGCCACAGGCACCACCCTATCATAAGTCCTTTTAAAAATAAAGCAAAGCAAAGCATGCTCAGTTTTCCAAGTCCCTGGCTCTGGGCATGCCTGCTTCTGATGGTCCTTCGTCCAGTCTCAGTCCTGAGATCAGCTGGTGTTAACCTCGAGGACGGGGGAGAAGGGCCTGGGCAGGGCGCCCCCACCTGTCCCTTTCCCTCTGCCTGCTCTAGAATCCCTGAGGGAACGGGAGCTGGCTCAGTGATCTTCCCGGCTCAGTGATCTTTGCCTCTATGGGTCTGACCTCTTGTAGGGCAGAGTGGTGGCATCTATAGGTGAGGTCTGCTTCAGGGCCAGAGCTGGGGGCAGCAGAGGGTCAATGAGACCCTCTGCACCATGCAGCCATGTGCAGTGGCTGCCACCACCCACAGCCCTGTCCCTACTGACAGGGGACAGGTCTCTGGCTCCCAACAAGGCCAACATCTGCTCTGAATGACCCAGGGGACAAACAATAGTCTGAGAGCCCCTCTGAGAAACCAGCTGTGACCGTCTCCCCAGGGACTGGATCAAGGCCTGCCCTGTCCTGACCTGACGCTGAAGCCACACAAAGTTCACCATGTGTTCCAGGGTCTTTTTGGTGGCAACAAGTAAGCCCAGAAACTCTGAGTAACCCCCACCCCCACCCCCCACAATAAAATCTCATCAACAAAGTGAAACAGCAGGTTTGCGTGTTAAATCCGTTACGGCCACTGGTGCAAGTGGGCCTGAGAGCAGGGAAGGGAAAGGCCCTGTGGGGGCCTGCATTTAGAAGCAACGCAACCAGGGACCCATTGGCCACCTCCCCCCATGTCCCAGCAGGAGGAGTCAAAGGGCAACAGAAAAGGTTTGTCTCACCGGTGGTCCCCGAAGCAGCCCTCGAGAGCCCTGCTTCCAAGTCCTGGCTGCACAGTGGTGTGTGTGAAGAGGCGTCACCTTAACCAGAAAGACAGTTCGGTAAGTTTGTGACAGGGGAGTTGTTGACGAAACTCTAATAACCTGTCTGGGGCGTGGCTTTGACACATACTTTGGGTGCTGGAGGAACAGCCACAGATTAAGATTAGCAGGCAGCCCCAGACCCAGCCCGTGTCCTTCACTGCACTCCCACCCACGCGTGAGGTGCTCCCAGAACCCCAGAAAGCAGGAGTCAGAAATCAGCCTAGCTGGGAGGAATGGAGGTGACAGGCGGTGTGAGCATGTCCAGAGGAATCATGACCACCTGTCGCCTCATCTCCAGCCCTCAAATGTCACAGATCACAAAACATAAATTTCACTTAGGCAGATAGGTGAAGAAAGCCATGGTGGGTCCTGAGCCCCTATAAGTGCGGGGGATTGTCCCTCAAACTTCAGCCAGTGCCTGTGAGCCCTAATGGGGTCACGGGCAGCTCTAGAGTTCTGAATAAGCTGGCAGAGATGGGTGTTTTTAGAAGATTCAGTGGAATTTTCTCCACATGGGCTGGCAATTGCATGCTAGAGGGGGAACAGAGAGAGAATGAAGCCAGGGAGCCCACAGGCGCACACTTCCCAGGAGGGCACCTGCAGGCAGCAGACGGCTGTGGGCCCTGGCTCCATTCAGGGGGTCCCATCCTCCCAAATAGGCTCTAGTCTTTGGGGGGTGAGACTGTCCGGGACCCTCTGGCCCTCTTCAGGGCTCTTTCACTTCCACTGTGCAAAAAAGTCCCCGCTGTGACAGCCTCACAAAGGCCCACCAATCTTACTGGCAGAAACTATGACCACTCCCTCAAAACAAGCTAGTGACATGGACAGGGTATGAGGGTGTGCATTCTCTAACCTCAGGACCTGTAAGACTCCTAGGGGAGCTGGCGTGAAAGGCAAATTCCTAGGCCTCTGGCCACAGGGATCTGGTGCCAGGTCCTACAGGTCAGGGCACTGGTCTCCATCAGTTACTTGGAGGGTTCAATGCAAGCTCCAGGCCACAATGCCACTGGCACCCATGCACTGCTGTTGAGAACACACCATGTCTGCCCAGTGGCTTCATCACCCTAACCTCTCCTATCCTCCCTCCTCTGCCAGAATGACAGGCCTGGTGGGGTCACAGCAGAGACCCACCGCCTGTTCCCCCTGCCCCAGCTCAGGAGCCTCAGACATCAAGACCACATTCCCAGTGTGGCCCTGGCCAGCCATACCTGCTGCACCAGATGCACATGAAGTAGGGTCACTGGTAGAGCGGGACACGGGCCTGGGACCTGGCCGTGGCTGTCTGCCTGTGCCAGGATCCTCCAGAGATGTACAGCCAGGGCGTGGGGGTGATGAGACACCCACAGGGCCATCAGGAGATGGATGGCTGGGACCCGGTGTGGTGGTGCTCTCGGATACCAGGAGGTGCATGCTGTTGGCTGGTGCTGTAGAAGAAGGGACACAGCATTAGGGTGGCAGTCATGGTGGACCCCGATGTGGGGTGGCACCTGCACCTTCAAACCCCAGGCCTATATCAACTCTGAAACCTTGGGGGCATGGAAACACCAAACAAGGCTAACAAACACTGCTCTCTTGTGTCAAAAGTTGGGGACACTGGATGGTCTACCAAGAAAATTCAGGAAGGGCACGGGTGGAGGGGCTGAGATGCTTCACATCCTGCAAGAGGCTAAAAGTCAGAAGTCAGACCCTTTGGTCAGAAGGACACTGGAAGAGCAGGACCAGTGCAGGGAAAGGCAGGAGCTCCAGGGGCCATCTAGGGATATTAGCCAGGTCCTGGGGGTTGCATGTGTGGGGTGCAACCCGGGGTGGGCAGGACAGCTGGGCAGTGCAGTTCCAGCACCAGGCCATCAGTGTCAGATTCACCTCCAGCAGGAATCAGAAATGCAAACTCTCAGCCAGACCCCAGACCCATGGAATCGGACCCTGTCGGGGCTGGGCCAGCCACCAGGCTTTGAGCAAGACCTCCAGGAGAGTCTGAGTAAACTGTGAGAACCGCTACTCTGCCCCAGTGATGCTGGTCAGGGTTGGGCTGGTGTTCCCCAACACTCCAGGGCTAGCACCTAGGGTGGCTGGGTCAGAGTCAGGTTAACACAACCCCAGGGGGCTGCTCGCACCTGTGCTTGTGAAGCTTGAGAAGTGCTGCCCCCTACAGGCTTTTTTCCCACTGCAGGTGCCCTCAGAGCTCCCTCCTGGCACTGGGGGAGATACAGGTGACCTGTGCCGGGAAGTCTTCCTTAGAATCACAGCAGCCTGACCTCCACCAGGGCTGGGAGGGCTCAGGGCCTCTTCCTGCCATCCTTCCTGTGGGTCCTGGCCTGTGGGAGGCCATTCTGTCCCGATGTGTGTCTGCGAGAGTCTTTTTAGCCTGCCTTCCACCTGATCCTCACTGCCCACCTACCAGGCACCGCCAGGGAACCCCATGTAGCAGGTGAGGAAATGGGCTTAAAGAGGGAAGGGAAGGGGGTGACTCAGCCACCAAGCAGTGGAGCTGGTGGAAGATTCTAGAGTATTCCCATGTAACTCCCCCTCCAGCCTACGGCTGCCCTCCTCCATAAATGGTTGGGGATGATTAGCAGTCCATCTGGAGAAACAGGAAAAGATGGAATAGCACCTCACACAGCATATGCTATATATATATATATATATATATACATTTTTCAGGAAGATTAATCCTTTTTTTTTTTTTAAGATACCATAAGAATGGTGGAAGAAAATATACAAGAATAAGTCTATAGCCTTGGAGTGGAGAAAGACTTTGTAAGCATGGAAACCATAGAGGAAAAGCTTGATGAATTTGATGACAAAAAATTATGCACTTATATATGGCAGGAAGCACTATGACACACACATGGAGAAAGCACGCCTGTAGTAACGGGCGAAGTGTTGCCTTTACAAATTGTGTCATGTCTCCGTTTCACAAAAATCTACAGAAAAGTGGCTCAGTGCCTGTAGCTCAGCGGCTAGGGTGCCAGCCACATACACCAGAGCTGGTGGGTTCAAACCCAGCCCGGGCCTGCCAAACAACAACAACAACAAAAATAGCCTGGCGTTGTGGCGGGTGGCTGTAGTTCCAGCTGCTTGGGAGGCTAAGGCAAGAGAATCACTTAAGCCCAAGAATTTGAGGTTGCTGTGAGCTGTGACGCCATGGCACTCTACTGAGGGCAACATGAAGAAATATATTCAAACTCAATCTGTGTGAGAGTGTGTGTGAGTGTGAGCATGTGTGAGTGTGAGCGTGTGTGTGTATGTGTGTGTGTTTGAGATGCTCCCCTACGCATAGCAGATGAAGATCACTAGGAGCAACAACCTCTTGGGGCTTCATACACCACTGTGGGGACTCATAAACTGGTGATGCAATCTCTCCAGAATGCAATCCAATCTCTCCAGAATGCAATCCAGTCTCTCCAGAATGCAATCTAGTCTCTCCAGAA